TTCCTTAAAAGAAGAAAAAGTCAACAAATAAATGACTTTACACTACATCTCAAAGCCCTAGAAAAAGAACAAATCAACACCGAAAGCAGCAGAAGACAGGAAATAATTAGAATCAGAGCTGAAATCAATGAAATTGAAATAAAAGAAACAATTTTAAAAAATTGATGAACAAAAAGTTAGTTTTTTGAAAAAATAAGTAAAATTGAAAGACCCTTAGCCATGCTGATTAAGAAGAGAGAAAACTCAAATCACTAAAATACATGATGAAAAAGAAAATATCACAACAGACACTACAGAAATACAGTGGATAATCAGAAATTATTTTGAAAACTTGTACTCCAATAAAATAGAAAATATCAAAGGCATTGACAAATTTTTAGAGTCATATAATTTTCCCAAATTGAATCAGGATGATACACACAATTTAAACAGATCAATTTCAAGTGATGAAATAGCAGACACCATATCAAAAGTCTTCTAATCAAGAAAAGCCCAGGACCGACAGATACAGAGTCGAGTTCTACAAGACCTTTAAAGAAGAACTAATACCAATACTCTCCAATTTATTTCAGGAAATAGAAAAAGAGGCAGCACTTCCAAACTCATTCTATGAGGTCAATGTCACTCTGATTCCAAAACCAGGCACAGACACATCAAAAAGAGAAAACTTCAGACCAATATCTCTAATAAACATAGATGCAAAAATTCTCAATAAAATTCTGGCAAATTGAATACAAAAACATATCAAAAAGATTGTGTACCATGATTAATTGGGATTCATCCGGGGGATGTAAGGTTGTTTCAACATATGGAAATCAATAAATGTAATATATCACATCAATATACTTAAAGGTAAAAATCATATGATCATCTTGATAGATGCAGAAAAAGAATTTGACAAAGTACAGCACCCCCTTTATGTTCAAAACACTAGAAAAACTAGGGATAATAGGAATGTGTCTTAACATCATTAACATGCTATTATGCATAAAAACAACAATAATTGTTAGCAAGGATGTGGGGAGAAAGAGACACTCATGTAGGGGATAGGAAAGGTAGCAGAATACAACAATTACTAATTGGGCATTATGTAAAATTGTGGATGTGTAACCGACGTGATTCTGCAATCTGCATTTGGGGTAAAATTGGGAGTTCATAACCCACTTCAATCTAATGTATGAAATATGATATGTCAAGAGCTTTGTAATGTTGTGAACAACCAATAAAAAAAAAACTAAAAAAAAAAGAGAGAGACACTCATGTACTGCCGGTGGGAAGGCAAATTGGTGCAGCCAATATGGAAAGCATTATGGAGATTTCTTGGAAAATTGGAAATGGTACCACCATTTGACCCACCTATCCCTCTCCTCAGTCTATACACAAAGGACCTAAAAACAGCATACTACAGAGACACAGCCACATTAATGTTTATAGCAGCACAATTCACAATAGCTAAACTGTGGAAACAACCTAGATGCCCTTCAGTAGATGAATGGATTTAAAAATATGGCATATATACACAATGGAATATTTCTCACCAATAAAAGAGAATTAAATCATGGTATTTGCAGGTAAATGAATGGAGTTGGAGAAGATAATGCTAAGTGAAGTTAGCCAATCTCAAAAAACCAAATGCTGAATGTTTTCTTTGATATAAGGAGGCTGATTCATATTGGGACAGGGAGCAAGAGCAGGGAAGGAACAGACAAACTCTAGATAAGGCAGAGGGGTTGGAGGGGAAGGGAGGGGGGCCTGGGGTTATTAATGATGGTGGAATGTGATGATCATTATTATCCAAAGTACAGGAATGAAGACATGAATATTCTGTGTATACAACCAAAGATATGAAAATTGTGCTCTATATGTGTAATAAGAATTGTAATGCATTCCACTGTCACTTATAAATAATAAAAATAAAATCTTAATACCAAAAAAACCCCAATCAATAAATGGACCAAGCAACTGAACAGACCCTTCTAAGAGGATATATAGTCAATCAACAAATATATGAAAAAATGTTCAACATCTCTAGCAATTAAAGAAATGCAAATCAAAAGTACTGTAAGATTTCATCTCACTTCAGTCAGAATGGCAGCTATTAAGAATACAACAACAACAACAAATGCCGGTGTGGGAGAAAGGCACACTCATACATTGCTGGTGGGACTGCAAATTGGTGCAAACAATATAAAAAGCAGTATGGAGATTCCTTAGAAAACTGGGAATGAAACCTCCATTTGGATCCAGCTATCCCACTCCTTGGTTTATACCCAAAGGACTTAAAAACAGCATACTATAATGACTAGTGACACAGCCACATCAATGTTTATAGCAGCACAATTCATAGTAGCTAAAAATTGTGAAACCAACCTCTTTTAACCAGGCCACTGAAGTAGCAGATAAATGGATAAAGAAACTGTGGTATACATACACAATGGAATATAACTCAGCATTAAAAGAGAATAAAATGATGGCATTTGCAGGTAAATGAATGGAGTTGGAGACTATTATGTTAAGTGAAGTAAGCCAATCCCTAGAAATGAAATCCTGAATGTTTTCTCTGATATGAGGATATTGATCCATAATGGGGATGGCAGGGTTAGATAGGGCAAAGGGGAGGGAGGGGAAGGGTAAGGGCAGGGGGGTAGGAAAGATGGTGGAATGAGATGGACATCATTACCCTAATACATGTATGAAGACACAAATCATGTAACTCTACTTCGTGTACAACCAGAGACATGAAAAATTGTGTTCTATATGTGTACTTTGAATTGCAATGCATCCTGCTGTCATATATAACAAATTAGAATAAATAAATTTTAAAAGTTTTACTGGGTTATCAAAGAGAAATAAATAATATTTGTATTTCTGCATAAAAATGGCCATATTATCAAAAGCAGTCTACAAATTCAATGAAATCCCCATCAAGATATTAATTACATTCTTCATAGAAAAAGAAAAACCCCCAAAATTCATATGGAGGAATAAAAGACACTCAAGACCAAAACAATACTGAATACAAATAGCAATACTGGAGGTATTCTATTTGAAATATTCTATTTCAAAGCATACAGAATTATAGTGATAAAAACGGCATGGAACTTACATGAAAACAGACACGTAGACCAATGGAATAGACTAGAAGATACAGAAAACAAACACACCCAGATAGAGTCATTTGATCCTTGTCAAAGATGCCAGGAACCCATGTTAGAGAAAAGACAGACTTTTTAACAAATGTTTTGGGAAAATTGGGCATCAATAGATAGAAGAATGAAACTAGTTCTTCATCTGACACCCTGCTTGAAAGTCATATTGAAATGGATCAAAGACCCTGCAACTGCTAAAAAAATATAGGATCAACATTCTAACATAAAGGCAGAACCAATGACTTCATCAGTAGAACTCCTAATGCTCAGGGAACAATGTCAAGAATTAATATATGGGATGCTCCCAAATTAAAAGCTTCTGCACAGCAAACAAAATAATTAAGAGTGTGAATAGAGTCTACAGAGTGGGAGGAAATCTTTGCCAGCTACTCTTCTGACAAAGGATTAATATCCAGAATAAAGAACTCAAAAACCTTACCACCAAAAAAAAAAATAATAACCCAATCAATAAACAGGAAAATCAACCAAACATTTCTCAAAAGAAAAACAAATTTGCTAACAAATATAGGGGAAATGTTCAACATCTTAACAATCAGGGAAATGCAAAACAATACTAAACTGAGATTACATCACACTCTACTTCAATGGCAATATCAAAACTACAAATAATAATAAGTGTTGGTAAAAATGTTGGGGAAAAGGAAAACTTATACCCTGTTGCTGGTATCGTAAATACAAATAGCAATACTATAACCACTATGGAGATCAGTACAGAGTTTCCTCAAAGGATCGGAATGCAACCACCAGATGATCCAGTTATACCACTCTATATTATCTGTCCAAAAAAATAGTTTCAGCATATCCATATTTATAGCACGATTCAAAATAGCCAAGTTATATAAGGAACCAACCTTAGGTATCCATAAACAAATTAATGGATAAAAAAATGTGGTATAAATACATAATGGAGTATTGTTTCGCCACAAAGAAGAATGAATATATGTCATTTGCAAGAAAATGAATACAACTTTAGAACATAATGATAAGCAAAATAAGTCAGCCTCAGAAAGTTAAGGATCATATGTTTCCTCTCATATGTGGAATCTAGATAGAAAAAAAGAAAAAGGAGGAAAAAAATCTCATGAAAATAGGATAACCAGTAGAGCAGAGGAAGGGGACGAGGAATAGGGAAGAAGGGAAGAGAAAGTAGTAGTATTGGGGAATGAAATGGACCAAATTATGTGATGTGCTTGAATTAATATGTGAAAATGAATATATTGCATGTAATTTAAGTGCAATACAAACACCAAAAAAACTTAAAAATTTTCCAAGTTTAGTAGAAGATATAGATTGGTGAACCCTAAACAGGCTAAAAAGAATCAAATGTATGCCTAGACATATTATAACCCACTGAATTCTGAAGAAAACTAGGCAAATTGAAGACATTGTCACATGAAAACTGAAAGCATTATAATTATAAAATCATTTCTGAGTCTCAAATTTCTTTTGCCACAAGAACCCAAGCATTCTAAGGACCCTGTATTATTTGGGAGGAAAGCATGGTCATCATCTTCTCTCCACCCTTCATGTCATGAATGGAATCTGCAGGAGACACTGGGACTCAGAACCAACTATCATTATGCTACATTTGTATTGTTGGTTCAGTGGCTCCTTTGGGGAACATATGGTGAGAGTAAATGGACAGTTGTGTGTGGTAGGGATATATTTGGGTTACATTCTGCCAAATCTCCTTTTCTCTGCCCCTCAGTTAGCTCAGTGTTCCACCAGCATCCCTAAACTCCAATCCAATATCCTTAGTTCAGCTTCTGAGGTTCATATTCAGTCCCAGCCCACACTGTTCCCAACTGATCCAGGAACTTAGATCCCTACATCATTGATGAGTGGACGCAGTTGCCTGGAGATGTTACAAAAGACCACCTTGGTGTCCTCCCCTTGCCCGTGGTAGATGATATTCCGCAGGGTCTTCACTGCTTGCACTGCTACTCGCACCTCGTTATTCAGTAAGTCTCGCAAAAGTGGAACCAGGCTCTGAAGTATCTCTGACTATTTGGAAGAAGGCAGAGATCACTTTGTCACATAATGTAATAACTTCACACATTATGGAGATTAGAAATGGGCAATTTGGGGTGGTCATTATTTTATCTATAGCACCATTTTGCAATTATATTTATAACAACAATCTTATTTCAGTCACCATCTTAGTTTTTTTTCAAGAAAATTCAAACTTTTACCAACAGATGTTGAGAAACAATCATCACTCTTGGGATTAAACAACATTCTGGGAACCAGGTTTTGAGAAAGCAGATGGTACATAAGGCAAACCACCTGGGAAATCAAAGGTGATTTTCAAGGAATGGAAAGGGAAGGCTTAATGGTATTGGAGTGATTTTAGGACAAGTGGATGGAGGTCTAAAAACTAAATGTTGTGATGCCCTGGGGTGAGGGAGTGAGAAATTTATAAATTCCTGTACTGCTGAGAGACCCAAGGAAGGTGAATCAAAGGCTCAAGGACTAGCATTGGATCCTTTGGGTCCTACTGGCTCACATTTCCTGGGTGTAGTGCCAGGTTACTGATTCCTCGAAGACCGATTTCCTTCATGATGAGGTTGGGCTCCTTGATCCATCTGATTAGATCACCCACAAAGTCTTGCCCTATTATCTTTGCTACTGACGAGTGCCAGAGGAGCTGTGGGGACAAGGAAATTATGGATGGAAAAAAGTTTATGAGTACTCAGAACTCACCTAGTACATCCTCAGGTGCCATACTCATGTCAGGAGTATGTCCAGTTGAGAGCAGTACAGATTTGTACATAGGGATAAAGAGATTAAGGGTAAGAATTTAGCCTTATGATAGAGATGAGGCTGGAATTTTTAATCTGATGCTCAGATTCATGATTATTCTAGATCTGATAACCTCCTCTCCAGTTTTTCATGCCTCTTTTAACCAGGCCACTGAAGTAGCAGGGAAGGGAACTCATTTTTAATGGCTTAATTCTATTCTTTTGTCCTTGCTGGGGCAAAGTACTTAACACTCTGTAACATAATCCTCAACTGCAGCAAATTAATGGCTGGAGCTGTTGACTTCTCCCCTCACCTGCACATAGAAGGTCCTGGCCATGACCTTCTGATGATCATCCAAGCTATAGAGTAGGTTCCTGACATGGCTCACAATTCGGTGCAGGATAAAGGGTTCACAATTCTTCACGATGCCACTGGGAAGGGACATATGAAACCAGAAGTTGCTGGAAGTGGAGAGGAGTAACCAGGACCAGAATGCACAGGACAGGGAAGATATGAGGGCTGTGAGATCAGAAGACCAGAGGGCTTGGAGATGGGGAAGGTAGAGTCAAAGGTTACTGGGATCTGGGAGACTGGAGTCAGAGTGTGGAGTTTTCAGGGGTGCTGGGGAAATGGTCCCACCTTGTCAAGTCCATGATACCTATGTAGTAAGATTTGGGGCTGGACAGGAGTTCCCAGCATTGATGTTCACTGGCATAGACTACCACTTCATCATATGCAGCCGCCTTGAACACCAATTTGACTACCTCCAAGGCACAACTGAAGGCCACCGCAATTGAGTTTATGAAAAAGAAGGGACCAGAGGGATATATAAGGTGTTGTGTCCTGGTTTGCAAACCCTCTGTTGGCAAGCTAGGTTATAGTTCTTGGCTCTGGTTGCTATGTTTGTCTTTCCTGCCAACAAAATTCACAGCTCCACGGAACCCAACTCCAATTGCTCATCCACTCTCCCCTCCAAGTGTGATCCTCCACAGAGTTTTGTGAAAGAGACTGTAATAGATAGTACAGAGAGTTCGCAAGTTCTGTTCTCTAAGAAACAGAAGCAGGGTTAGGATCTCTCTTTACCTCCACATCCACCTATTCAGAATGTCTCTGCTTCATTGGCAGTAATTTGTTTTCACTTCCATGTGATAAAGTAACATATTTGGGTATCCAAACCCCATTTCACAGATGAGTAAACTGAGTTTTAGTGATGACTTGTACAAGATGACACAGCTGGCACACAAAGCCAAGACTGATTGAAATGGCCCAACTCACACGAAGAAAATGACAGTCTTATCCCATCACTTGCCATCTAAACTGAATCTCTTCGTGTGCAGTGACTGGTTCATGGGCATGAACTGTTGTGTGAGTCAGTACAAGAGTGCATGCTCCAGCACCCACACCATGGTCTATCTCCCCCCTCTACTGCTCTCGTCCTCTCAAAGGGATTAGCAGGGCTCTCAGAAACTGGTTAGTTTCAGTGCTCCATCACTTGGAGATTAGGCTTACCCAGTGGGGTCAAAAGGCTTGCTCTTGCCACCTGGAGACCCCTCCTTGGTGTAAACCACCATCTTCTGTGGGGAACGTTGCTCAATCACCCAGTAGAGGTGGCACAGCACAGACAGCAATAGTCGTGGGTATAGCTCCTGAACAGCCTCCTGGCATATGGTCTCTGAGAGCATCTCACACAAGGCACATGCTACCTGGGAAGGGGAAGGCAAATGGCCAACCCTGGGCCACCACCACTCAGACTCTCCCTTGGAAAGCCCAGGTTGCAACTCTGCCCTACCCCACAGCCATACAGCACTCTGATTCAGTTTGGAAACCAATACTCCTCCCTAGAGAAATGAGGGGACAATACATATACAATCTACTTTCTTTTCTGTTCATCTGACATTAGAAAATGAAAGGTAATAAGGTACACCTATGGTCCCAGCTAACTGGGAAGCTGAGGCAGGAGTATTGCTTGAGCCCAGGATTTTAGGGTAAGACAGGGCAACATAGCAAGACCCCATATCTTCATAAAAGAACAAAAAGAGGAAGGGAGGGAGGGAGAGACACAGGGAAGAAGAAACACAGTAAGGGAAAATGAGAGGTAATCCATTCAGCAGAAGATAAATTAGGGCAAACTTTTGTCTGTCCCAATTTATGACCAAATGCCTATCTTCCATTCCCCCGTGCCCACATTAGGCCTTCAGCAAAATGATCCCAGCATAAAATCAGGGTACAAAAAAAGCTGTTTATCCTTGCATGTCAATTTCCTTGTCCTGCCTTTCTCCAGTCCTTGGTATAAATATACAAAAAGGAGGCCGAAGTGCATCAATGATTCCAATGTTAACACTCTTCTCTTTGCTCTTCCCCAAAGCCTGCTTGGCCACTCAGGCCAAGCCCTTGGGTCTTCAGCTCTGCCCACAGGTTCCTAGAACACTAAGTCCAGGACCCCCTCCCTTCCTTTGCACTGACCGCCACAGGCTGGAAGGACATCTCCTTCCGTTCTTCTCTGGTGTAGGACTTCTCCAAGATGCCCATAAGCAGCTGCAGAACATTTATTGTCGTTTCTTGCTGGGTGCCAAATGACTTCCACAGGGCCAGTTGGGTTCTGTAGGACCCAGGGAAAGCTATGTCACAGGCCCTGGTGATCATGCTCCTAGGACTAGTTTATTACCAGGCCCATGAAAAACCACCAGTTCTCAGGGACTGGAGGGAGTGAGACCCAAGTAGACAGGCCAAAGAACATGACTGGGACAAAACAGAAAGGAGGGAGACAGAAAGCACCCTAGAGGGGTGATTTTTGTTGTGTTTGAGGTGGATGGGGAGAAGATCTACTGAGCAGAAGACTGTGCGCCTGGACGATGAAGAGGTACCTATCCCAAGGCAGGGGTTTGTTGAGCAGCATGGGCACCACGGTGTGGGTGTTGCTGCCTGCTAGTGAGCTCATGGCCTGTAGGGTTTCCTCCTTTGTGCTGGGCTCCAGCTGAGAGTTGAGCCGTTCAAGAATGCACTCCACAATCTCCTCGATCTGCAGGGAGAACCAAAAGTCTCCCTAACTCCTTCCTTTCAGCTTTTGTCCCCTACCAATTTAAGTTTCCCCAAATTCAAGGGGTCCTTTGTTGTAATCTTGCCAGTACTCTGCCAGGGGCCATACCAGCAGGTGCCACAGAATGAAGTTCAGAAGTACCAATCCAGATGCCTGCCCACAACCCCAAAGCCTACAGAGGAGCCTACAGAGGAGGTTCCTTGTTTACTCAGGAGGGACCAGACCCTCTAGGGGAAAGGCAAAAGCCCTAGGGACACTTCAGTGTTCCTATCCCAGGTTTTGACCCCCAAAATTGCAGCAATGGTTGGCATTGGCAGTAGTGGGACCACAGGCTCTACCCTGTTCCTCAGGTCCCTAATACATGGCCTCTGGAAAACCCTTTTAGTATAGTCCATGCATCCCTATAAAGTCTATATAGAAGGAACAGTGACCCAGGTGACCTCATTTTAAAGTCCTTTTCAATAAAGAAGGAAACAGATTTATATGCAAAACCTTCCCATTTGTACATGATAGCCTAAAAAAAAATTCAAATGTCAGAATCATTCCACAAACTTGCTATTTTGCAGTCCATTACTACAGGGAACCAAGGTAAATGCTCCCAACTGTATTTCTTTCTACTATTGAGTCCTCCATATGCCTACACCTGTATACATCTCTGTTGTTAACTGTGGAGCCAGAAGCCACCTGTCCAAGAGAGGAAGCAGAGCTCACGGGAACCAGAGGGAAAAATCCAGTCCAAGGATACAAGTTGTAGGTGAGTGAACTAAGCCAAAAAAAAAAAAAAAAAAGGGAGGAGGAGGGGGGATTTGCATGAGGCCCTTTAGCTAGTTAATAACAGAGAAAGGAAAGAAGCCAGGGTTCCTGTTTTCAGGAGCCTGCCACAGCTCCACACTACCTTTAGCATGTCTCTTCCCCGTTCTTTCATAACTGCACTCATTAGCTGGGCTGCAGCCAGAGACACCTTGGACTCACTGTCAGTTAGGTCATTCACGGCTGTCAGCACAAGGTTGGTGAGCTGGATCTGGGTGAAGTACTCTGCAAATGCCTGAAACGAGGACATCAGTCTGGGCAGGCCTCCTGCCTGATAGGTCTTGGGATGTCCTTCCTGGTCATGGAACAAGGGAGAACCCCGCTTGGGAGCAAGATGCACTTTTATCCTTGGCCTGTATTACTTGCCCAGCTCCTAGAGGACACACACACACATATATACACACATATATGTCTGTCTCATATTTTTCATATATATGCTGGAAATGGAACCCAGGACCTTGGAAACAGAGTCTTTGGGGATCTGAAGGAGAAAACAGTGAACTCCAGGCAATGTGGGACTCAGAGGTAGAGGCTGCAGAGACTCAGCAGTGGCAGTGAGAGGCTGGAGGTCACATCATTAGTGACATCTGTTCCATGTTTGCATTGGGCATACACATTGTTTACAAAGTATCAAAATAAACGCTTCTGGGATATGAGCAATCAAGAAGAATTAGTATCCATGATGCTCCAAGGAAAGCATGTTGTTGCTCCCAGAACTGTGCCTTACACTGCATAGGCAATTTCCCCCAAATAAAACATTTACATCCAGCAACTGAGAAAGAAGGTAAGTGGGATGAGAGTCCTACCCAAGGGGTTTATAGTACAATGTAAGTGAGAGCCACAGCTCTTCTGATTTGTCTCTGCTCCCCTGCTTACCTTGGCAATTCTATAGGTGTTGTTATAGAATACATTGGCACTATAGACCTCATTTTTGTGCTCTTCTTCCCACAAGCCTTGTTTTTTCCTTGTCACCTCTGAAACAAAGAAACCCAATTCCACCTCTCAGATGCCAAGAAGATTTCTTAAGCTCCCCTTTCCCACCTTTCAGGGATCCCAGTCTAACCCCAAACACTGAATTAAACAGCCATCTTTGAGAGATGCATGTCCCATGGGGCTGGGAAAGAGGAATGGACATTAAAACAAGGAATGCTAAGAACTAAGGTCAAATAAATCCCTACTTTGCCTGTGTCAGACAGGCACAGAATTGGGTAGAAACTGGTGGAAAAGAACTGTTTCCCAAGCAGTTAGTTTATCCAAAGAGGGGCAAAATATCTGCAAATATTGGAGCAGGTTTTTCAGTTAGGAACTCAGGTGAATTCTTGGCTTTCTCTCTTCAGGAACAGAGCAAGTGGGGATGGCTAGGCCTAAGTGGGAGGCTGGAGCAGGAGTGGGGAGAGAAGGCTCCCCATACGCTTTTGCTGCTGGAGGATACAGTAGAGGTTGTAGACAGCCTGGGCAGACAAGAAGCAGATGTTGTCCACTGGGTCCTGACAACGTATGGCCAGCAGCCTTACCAGGCACCCCAGCCAGGTAAACTGAATTTCTACCTAGGTAGGAGAGTTGAAAGTCACAGTTAACCCAGCCATTCCTTTAGTCTGGGTTATCCCAGGAAAATGACTAGGAAGAAGAGATCCATATGCCAGAGACTAGGTGAAATGGACATGAATTGAAGGTATAACTCAGTGGTAGAGTGTTTGTTTAGCATGACAAGGTCCTGGGTTCCATTTCCAGCATATATATGAAAAATATGAGACAGACATATATGTGTGTATATATGTGTGTGTGTGTGTGTGTATATATATATATGTGTGTGTGTGTGTGTATATATATATATATATACACACACACACATATCCATATTCACATACATATATGTGTGTGTGGATTATGTACACACACATACATATGACATGAATGAAATTGACAGATGAATTGGGGCTATAACACTATACAAGGTCACAGTTTTGGAATAATCTTAGATTCTTCCCTATTGTTTGCCTCTTGACATCCCACTCATTTTTCATGCCTGGCTAAATTGCTTCCTCTTCTATAAAACCTACCTTAATTCCTCTCAATCATTTGTGTTTTGGTATTTTTCCCCCACTACATTTGATTTATGTACCCATCATCACCTTCTATTTCAGTCTGTTCTATGCACACCTCTCTCTTTCAGTGGACTGTAATATTCAAGAGGACAGAGAACTAGACATCCACTGGAACGCCTAGGCATGGTGCCTGACATCCAGGTAAGCATTCAGTGATTACTTGTTGAAAGATGCAGAGTGAACCAGGTAGAATGGAAATGAATTGGTGGAGGAAGAAAAAACAACAGATGCTGGTGAGGAAAGGAAACAGGGAGAAAGGAGAAAACAAGATGGTGCTCTACAGAGAGTACAATAAGGAGTCAGGAGACAGAAGGTAAGGCTGGTGACTGAGGCCAGATGATAAGATGAAATTTAGCATAGAGGTAATCAGAGGGAGCACCATGGCCCAGGCTCCAGGGCAGGTACCCACTCACTTCAAAGTTATTCATTTTCGCAGTGAAGCCAAGAATACGAGCAGCACACCACATGGCCCGTTCCCGCTCACTGTCCTTCAGGGAGTTAAGCCACGTGTTCAGTACCTACAGGGAGAAGAGAATGGAAGGAGAGGTCTGATTAGCTACATTCCAGAACCCAGAAAGGCAACTTGGAGTCTGGTTTCCACAAAGTATCACAGCCATACTTCTGAGAGCCTGACTTCTATATGTGAGTCTGGCAACAGAAACCTTCATTTTCTCAGGCCCCAATATTTTCCCAATCTAGATGCTGGAAATCTCCCCACTGTAGATTCAGGAAGATGGCAGAAGTGAGGTAGGTAGCAACTCCAAATCTCCTCAAAACACAGAAAGGAGGCAGCAACTAAAAGCAAAATTGAGAACTGGGTGACAAAATAAATGCTCTAAAATTTGATACTTCATAGACTGAGACCTGGAAAGACTGCAAAATAGGTTACCAGAAGAGGAAACAGAACTCAGAGTGCCCTAACCCTGTCCTTTGGATAAGGGGAGAGGGGCAATAAAGAGAGAAAGACAGGGCGGGAGAGTAGATATTCTCTTAAGCTCACCCACTTAAAAACTGTTGTAAAGACAGACAAAATTTGAAGTGCATAAGACTGCTTAAAACAGCACAAACAACTTAAAACCAAATTGGAAAAGAAAGCCTTCAGGGGCAGCCATATTATGGAGCCCAACAGCAAACAAATCACAATGGCATCTTCCCACACCCAGACAGCTCTAAATTAAACTAGAAGGAATCCCCCCTGCAGTGGCCCTCTTAAAAATCCAACCAGAAAGAACTTCTAGAAGGACCACTACTAGTCATAAATCTCAGAAACCCCATCCCCATGCCCCTCACTACAAACAAGGGGAACGGATTGGGGTGGAGGAGACCTGGGCCAAGGGAAGTCAGCCCAGGGAAGACTATTCCAAATAAGTCTTCATTTGAAAGTCATGAAATCTTTTAATTATATAAATCTTTAATTTACATAATTTATTTTATAAATCTTTACATAATCAAAATCTTCAATTATATAAAAAAGAAACCCTGAAATTTAAAACAAATAAATCAAAATTCTGTCAATTTGCCACTATAAACACAGAGAAATAATTACCTCAAATAACTTTTAACAAAATATTATGACAATACCCCCTTAGTTTCTATATTCTGACAACAAAAAAGAACCTAAGCTTCATAGGAGAATGGGGAATAGAATATTCAAAAGAAGGCCAAAGTATCACAATGATATTAACATCAAGTAAGTCATATTAATAAAAAAGACAAACAATCAAATTCAAAAATAGATAAAAATTACTTGAACTCGCACTTCATTCCTTTGAGCCAAAACATGGTCTCACTTGGTTACCAAAATGACTTGTATAGTTTTCATCTCAGAGAAAACAGAGGTCAAGACAAATAACTCTCCAGGGCCATATATCTAACAACAGGACCAGAATCTGGAACTGCATATATGAAAGCCGGAGCCCGTACTTCTAACCTTTATATGAAGGAGCAGAGAGCAGCTGGTTGAGAAAATGGTTCTGGTAGTGGGTAAAAGGGAGGAAGGAAGTTTCTCCTCCACAGGCAGACTAACATCATTTGGACCCTAGCCCTGATCCCTGCCTTCCCTCTAACACTCTACACCCAACCTTCCTCCTTGGTTCTACCTCTTATACTGCGCCCACCCCTGGCTATTCTGTTCCCAACTCAAATGGCTTGACAAAATTCATGTCTACCTAGACTTCAGACTGTGACCTTATCTGGACATAGGGTATTTGCAAATGTGATCAAGTTGAAGTGATTGCTGTCCTTATTAAAAGAACATACACGTACAAGCGTACATACACACACACTCACACACACACACACACACACACACAACACACACACACACACACACACACAACACACACATAAAATGAGAGAGAGAGAGAGAGAACCTGCTCTGCGAATGAAGGTTAGAGGCAGAGATTAGAAAGATATGTGTTCAAAGTCAAGGGATACCTACGATTGCCAGGAAACCAGAAGCCAGGAGAGAGACATGAAACAGATTCTCTGTTGGCACCTCCAGTAGAAGCCAACCTTGCCAGCAACTTGACTTGGAGTTTTTAGCCCTTTGAAGCTAGACAGTTAAGGTACATTATAAGGTACCCCTAGGAACAAAGACATCAACATTCAAGGGTTCCTTCCCACTGACCTGCAAGCAGACATGGATCTGAGTGGCCTTCTCAGTGACGAGTGCTTCCATTACTCTTCGAAGAGATTGTAAGGTCTCCCTGAATAGTTCCTGAGGAGGGAAGAGGGACTCAGAGCATTGCAGAGCTATCAGCTCCTCTAACTTCCAGTTGACACTCTTTTTCCTCAGGAAGCTTTACTTGCTCAGTTCTGCCCCACAAGTTTACCCACATTTCCAAGTGCCACTTCCTGCAACTTGGATAATTCCTTTGCCATATGCACAAGAGCACACATCAGCCTGGTATGCAGTTACTCCTAGTGGGCTGGAAGCTCTCTGATATCACAGCCTACCCTGGAATTCCTCCGCTCCCTGTTCTCCATGCTAAGCTCCTTCTGGGCCTCTGCTGGCAGGGGGTGCTACCTCATTCTGCAGGGTCCAGGAGGCCAGCTGGCTCCAGGGGAAAGAGAGCCAGACTACCAGTCTGCAGGGTAACTGATTCACAAAAACTGGGACAGTTACTCCTTCTTGCTCTGTAGTGGACTCAGTGGCTCTGACCAGAAATACTAATTCTGCCTCTAAGCCAAAACTTAGTGAAGAAAGTAGGTTATCAACCTCCAAAGGCTTCTTACAAGATAGTTGTATACCTCCAAAATGAACAAGAGGAGAAATGAGAAGGAAAGGCAGCTCTCTGTGTAATGAAGTATTAAAAAGAAATCTACCTCCAGATTAAAGCCATTCCTACTGGGCATCTGGGATTCCTAGTCAGTCTTGAGCAGGTAAGCCTAGTCAAAATGCCCTCCCCACCCTAACCAGAAGTACATGAGGAAAGCCTTATGGGAAGATCACTTGGGGAAGTCCATGGCACATCTCATATATACCAGTTATTCCTTGAGAACTAAAGGAAATATGAACTAAGAAGGATCCTTGAACATTTGATGAGAAGACTCATAAATTTATACAATTAAAACATTAATTCAAAAATGAAGGTAAATTATTTCTATCTAAAATAATTTACAAACCAGAATCTTTATACCCTGCCAAAACAAACATGAGAAAAGGATATTATTTTCAGATGTCTAAAGGATTATTAATGTTAACTCTCATGTACTATTTAATTTTAGAAGTTATCTAAATATATACTTCAGATATTCTCTTCCTTGAAAAAAAAACAAGTAAGAACTCATGGGATTTGGTCTCAGGAGCCATATAGGAGAGAGGCAGAGGAAGTTTTTTTTTAAAAAAAAAAAAAGGCTAACATAAACAAACAGACCAACTGATCCTAAAGGAAACCACTATAATTCAGGAAAACTTTCTTTTGAAAAAAATTCTCATCAGTCGGGTGCAGTGATGCACACCTGTAATACCAGTGGCTCAGGAGGCTGAGGCAGGTGGATTTTGAGTTCAAAGCCTGCCTCAGCAATGGCAAGGCCCTAGGCAAGACCTAGCCCTAAATAAAATATTATAAAGGGTTGAAATGTGGCTCAGTGGTAAGGTGCCCCTAGGTTCAATCCCTGGTACCAAAAAAAAAAAAATTGACTGGGCATGTAGCTTTGTAGGAGAGTGCTTGCCTAGCATGTGTGAAGCCCTCAGTTCCATTCTTAGCCCTGAAAAACATACACACACACACACACACACACACACACACACACACACATTCTTACTATCACTCCAAAATTCAAAAGACCATGGCATCAATAAAATAAGACTAGCCAGTCAAGATGAAAGAATATTCAAAGACTACAACAGAGTTCCTAGGAGTGGAACAAAAATGCAAATTTAAATACTGAGCCCTTTCTCCCTCAAAAGCCCTATAGGAAATGAACTCAGATCTCTTATTACTGAGATTCCCAGGAACTTATTTATCTAAGGGTTTTTAGTAAATTATATGTGAACCATCCAGCCTGGTTTCAATCATATGACAGTTATAAAGGGAAGAACCAAGCAAGTATTCACCTTTGGGCCTTTTAATAAAAGGTGAATAATGAGTGACCCAAAAGTGAAAGTAACTCTCATGGGTAGAGTTCAGGCTGCCTGACCTCTAATCTCTTCTTCATAAGAGGTCTTCTTTTCAGTAATTTTGTTTTATTAAAGGCAGATTTTTTTCATAAAATGCCAAAGTCTATACTCTCATCCTTTTGAAAATAAAAAAGAAATAACAAGCAACAAAAAGTTAATTACCACATTGGCCTGGCCCTCCTTGGGACTAGATGCTTCTTTCCGTATGACGTTGGAGGATGGCAGGGACAGCACACTCTTGAAGCATGTTTGAAGCACCTCTACTGTGTTTTCTGGTTCTAAGAGAGGCTTGAAATTCCTAAGATCCAGGATGAAGCAAAGATGCAACCACTGAATGTCAGGAATGACAGCTGAAGGAGAAAAGGTATAATAATACAGAGAGAGATGGTAGAAACAGGGTCAGGCAGGAGAAGGAATCAAGAGATACCAGAAGAAGAGGTAACTGGAAGAGGAAAAGGGAAGAAATGATAAGGTAAAGAGGATCAGGAAGTGGAAAGTGAAGCATAGACAGAAAGCATGCCTGACAGAGGCAAGGGCACCTGATGATTTGGGATAACACACTTTTCTGTCCCCCAGATGTTCTGAGGGAACTGAAAGGTCAGGAATAGACCTAGAAGTGTTTAGTTAGGGACAGCCCAGAAAGCAAAGGAAGTCTGGGGCAGAAATGACAGCAAATACCTGTAGAAAGGAAGCGGCACTCTCTGCCAGGTGCTCAGAAAATCCCTCCCCAAAAAATCCTAACAAAAGAAAATGACATTGTCTGGTAGATGTCTACTACTTCCAGAGGACCCCTATACTGGAAGCCACCACAGAAAATGAGAGAGGGGTAAGGAGGGTTAAAGAGATGAAATCAAGTCAAGAAAGAGTCAAGGAATCAAAAAATAAAGAACAGATGGAACACTGTTACCTGAAGTCAGTGATGATGTTCATGGCCGTCCGTCTAATGGAGCTGGAGACACAGTTCACTGGCTCCTCCCTGATTAGCTCCTGTGACAACCACCCCCCACCCACAGAGACCAAAAGGATCATGAGTACTTTTTCTTACCATTCTCTTCCTCCTCCACCCTGGGCCATACTCACAAGAGGGTTGGACCTAGAACCCTCAGGGATTTCCAACAACCAGATTCTGATGGACAGCACCTCTCCCTATTTCCCAGCCTTCCCACAGTACTCACCCCTACCTGGAGGACAAGAAAGGTTAAGATGAAAGTAGGAGAAAGAAACTGGGCTACTATCTTCCAGGTCTAGCGAAGGAGCCTTCCAGTAGTTTCCTGGGGACCCATACACCTTCCTCTCCTGCCTCTACCCCCATTTTCCTTGAGTGCTACTTACCACCATGAAGGATATAATTTCTATTTTTTGGGGAATGTCATGTTGCAAGGTGATGGACAGGTTGCTCAGGATGACTGTCACACGGGATAGAGCATTCAAGAAATCCACCTTCACGTTGTTATCCTAAACAAAGCAGCATGCAAACAGACTACCCCTAATAACGACAGGAATTGTCCTGGGCCCTGGGAGACCCATCTGCAATCTGGGCATAAGGAGCTAAGCATTCATAGCCTCCCCTAGACTGAGTCCCTGCATGTTCTCTTGAGTGCAGCTAAGAAGAGGCAAAGCCTGTGACAACCCCATAGAAGGAAAGGGCCACCCTCACACCAGCCCCCTGAAACAGCTCCCTCTTCATAAAACTCTTAAATTTTTCAATAGCATAGTATTCTTCTCTCTCAAGGGAATGTCTTTCCACTGAATATTGTCTTCAATATTCAGGTTGTCCAGCTGGATGGTAGATGGACAGGGAATGGGAAGTGCTTGTCTCTAGCCTAGAGACACACACTCTAGACAAACAACAAAGATAGGAACCCCACTAAATGCTTCTTTCCATGACTGTGTTGGAAAATTAGGCATTATTCTTCCCTTCAAAGGAAAGGGCAGGGAGAAGCCCACAGGCATGCCACACAGCATGTCAGTGGGGAAGGAGACAGTTTGCAACCATCCTAAAATGACTACACTCTCCTCTAGTCAGTAGTTTCTCAGTGGCAGGATAAAGGAATATGAAACGATTGAAATGGAAACAAAACAGCAATAAGAGCCCCACCCACTGAGTAACACTGTAAGCCAAGCAAAGGTTCCTTGCGGGGGAAGAGAAAAGAAAGGAAGGGACAGGATGTGGGTGAAGGACAGGAATCAAGAAGTACCTTTTCCACAATGCAGTTGTGGTAGTGCTGTAGGACTGAGGCCAGGATATTATCCAAATGATGGAAGATGGCTCCCTTGCTCTCTAAGATAATCTTGCCATAGCTTAAGTAGATGGTGCTGCAGACCAGCCCCCACTCCCTTTGCTGATATTCCTGTAGGGGAAAAGGGAAACTTGCCTTCTCTTAACCTTGTCCTCTTGCTTCATGTGGACACTGAGGCCAAGAGAGGAAAAGATTGTGCAGAGGGCCCCAAAGGGAAGACAGAGCTGTAGAAGGGTCAACTTGGTGGAGTGGGGGGATGAGTGGTGATAGCAGATCCTGAGACATGGACATAAGAGAGCAAAGAAAAGGACAGAGAAGATAAAACTTCCCTAAGGTTAAATACAGGCTTTATAGTTGAATCACAAGGCAGGGTAGAAGTAGAGAAATTGTGGTGATGCGGGATGCTGGTAGAGCCCATGGGAATGTCATCACCTTCATCAATTTGAGAATGGATGATGTGTCTTGGTCCATGAGTGTAGTACTATATTCCTTCAGCTCATCCAGAGTTATCTTCAGATGTCCCAAGGACACGATGCCAAGCGCCACAGCAATGCCCTAAAGCAGGGACATGCCACAATTACCATGTGCTGAGCACCTCTACTGTGCTTCTCTAGAATCAGAAATTTAGAGAGAGAGAAAGGGAGAGGGAAGGGAAATGTGGTCCTTTGGACTTGCACTGTTCAAAATCCAGACAGAGAGCCAAACATTGTAGCAAGAAGTGATTTAAAAAGCAATTAGAGCCAGACAGGTGCACACCTGTAATCCCAGTGGCTCAGGAGGCTGAGTCAGGAGGATTGCAAGTTCAAAGCCAGCCTCAGCAATGGCAAGGCACTAAGCAACTCAGTGAGGACCCGTCTCTAAATAAAATACAAAAACATGCTGGGGATATCGCTCAGTAGTTAAGCACCCCTGGGTTCAATCCCTGGTACCAAAAGGAAGAAAAGCAACTGGAGAGGAAACTTCTATGCACTAGTAAGTCAGAGAAGGGTTAGTTTAAGTTGGGAATAGAAGAGAAGTACAAACTTGAGGTACATTATCAACAGGATTAGTAGCTAATTAGAGAAAATGGAAGTGGGAAACCTTATAGACAATGCTTTCAGAGAATGCCAGACTCATGTAGGAGAGTACAAAACAGCAGTCACTCCAATCAGAATGGGCAGAGGGAAAAGAAGAGAGGAGAAAGTGGATTCTGGATGCTTTGTATGTAACACAGTGGTAAGACAAATAAGAGGAAATAGTGTAGCTGGAAGCATTTATCTGGGAACTGACCATGTAACTCAGAACCAGAAATTTGAAGGAAAGCCTGGGAAGTCTGTGCCAGGAACTGTATATATGTACATATTTATTAGTACTGGGAATTGAATCTAGGGGTGCTTTGCCACTGAACTATATCCCCAGTTCTTTTGAGACAGGAGGTTTAGCTAAGTTGCTGAGAGTCTTACTAAGCTGCTGAGGCTGACCTTGAACTTGTTATCCTTCTTCCTCAACCTCCTGCATCACTTGGATTTCAGGGTATGCCACCATATATATGACATTATGATTCATCTTGACATAATTATAAAAGCATGGAATATAATTTGCTCTAATTCAGTCCCAAAAAGTTCCCTTTTCTCTCTTCTCCCTACCCTGTTCCCTTTCCTCTATACATCATGGTGAGATTCACTGTGGTACATTCCTATATGTACATAGGAAAATCAGGTCAGATTCGTTCCACTGTTCTTCCCTTATCCCATCTCTCCCCCCTCCCCCTCAATCCTTTTCAGCTACTCTATTTATCTTTTATTTTGATGGAATCTCCCCTTTTTCCTTTACCTTTTTTCCCCTTATTTCTGAGTATCACAGAAAACATTCTACCTTTGACTTTTTGAGTCTGGCTTATTTCACTGAGCATGATAGTTTTCAGTTCCATCTATTTACCAGCAAATGCCATAATGTCATTCTTCCGCATTGCTGAGTAATACTCCATTGTGTGTGTATGGGTGTGTGTGTGTGTGTGTGTGTGTGATATTTTCTTTATCCATTCTTCTGTTGAAAGGCACATAGATTGCTTTCAAAGCTTGACTATTGTGAATTGTGCTGTTATAAACATCGATGTGGCTGCATCACTATACTATGCTGATTTAAGATCTTTTGGATATATACCAAGGAGCAGCATAGCTAGGTCATATGGTGGTTCCATTCCTAGTTTTTAAAGAATCTCCATACTGCTTTCCAAAACAGTTGCACTAAAATGTGATCTCTCACCAACAATGTATGAGTGTACTTTTCTCCCTACATCCTCACCAACACTTAATAGCATTTGTATTCTTTATAATTGTCTGGAGTTTTAATTGGCATTTTTCTAATTGCTAGAGATGTTGAACATTTTTTTCATATATTTATCAACCATTTGTATTTATTCTTTTGAGAAGTGTCTGTTTAGTTCTTTTGTTCATTTATTAATTGGGTTATTTGGGAGTTTTTGGTATTTTTTATTTCTTTATATGTTCTTGATATTAATGCCCTATCTAATGAGCAGGTAATGAAGATCTCCCATTCTGTAGGCTCTCTCTTCATTGTTTCCTTTGCTGTGCAGAAGCTTTTTAATTTGGGCCTACATTTTCTTCTAGCAGTTGTAGAGTTCCTAGTTTAATTTCCAGGTCTTTGATCTACTTTGAGTTGACTTCTGTGCAGAGGTCAAGTTTCATTCTTCTGCATATGGATTTCCTGTTTTCCCAGCACCATCTGTTGAAAAGGTTATCTTTTCTCCAATATATGTTTTTGGTACCTTTGTCTAATATCAAATAACTATTTATATGGGTTTGTCTCTGTGTACCCTGTTCTATTTAATTGGTCTTCATGTCTGTTTTGGTGCCAGGACTATGCTGCTTTTATTACTACCGCTCTGTAGTATATTTTGAGGTCCTACATTGTGATGCCTCCAGCATTGCTCTTTTTGCTCAGGATTGCTTTGACTATTTGGGGTCTCTTGTTTTAAAATTGCTTTTTCTAGTGCAGGGAAGATGTAATTGATATTTTGGTGGGGACTGCATTGCATTTGTATGATACCTTTGGTAATATGGCCATTTTGACAATATTAGTTTGTCTATCCAAGAACGCAGGACTTCTTTCCATCTTCTAAGGTCTTCAATTTCTTTCTCCAGTGTTCTATAATTTTCATTGTAGAGGTCCTTCGCCTCCTTAGATTTTTTTTAAGTTATTGTAAATAGGATTGTTTTCCTGATTTCTTTTTTCAGCAGACTCATAGAGTATAGGAAAGTGATTGGTTTATTATGATCTTGTATCCTGTTACTTTACTAAATTTATCACCTCTAGACATCTTCTGGTAGTGTTTTTTGGATCCTCTAAATATAGGATGTCATCTGCAAACAGACAATTTGAGCTCTTCTTTTCCTATTTATATGCTCTTAATTCCTTTCAAGGACTATGTTGAATAGGAGTGGTAAGAGTGTCTTTGGAGACACTGTTTTTGGAGAAAATGCTTTCAGTTTTCTCCATTCAGTATGTTGTTGGTTTGGGGGTTTGTTGTCTATAGCCTTTACAATGTTAAATTCCTTCCATATCTAATTTCTCTAGAGTTTTAAATATGAATTGGTACTGTACTTTCAAATCCTTTTTCTGCATTTATTGAGATAATCAGGTGATTCTTGTCCATAAGTCTATTTATGTGGTAGATTTATTGATTTGCATTTATTTATTTGCATACATTGAACCAATCTTGCATCCTGGAATGAAACCTACTTGATCATAGTACACTATCTTTTAAATGTTTTGTTGTTGTTGTTGTTGTCTGTATGTTGTTGTATCTATGTTCATCAAGGATATTGGTTTGAAATTTTCTTTCCTTGATGTGTCTTTGTCTGGTATTGGTATCAGGGAGTTAATGGCTTCATAGAATGAATTTGGAAGTGTTCCCTCCTTTTCCATTTCATAATAATTTGAGGAGGATTAGTATTAGTTGTTCTTTAAAGGTCTGGTAGAACTAGCTGAGAATCTGCCCATTACTGAGCTTTTCTTTGTTTTCAGGCTTTTGATAGATGTGAAGCATCTGTTTTCTGTATCCTCCCAGTTCAATTTGGGTAGATCATGGAATTTGTCCAGATCTTCAAGATTTTCTAGCTTATTGGAGTAAAAAATTCACAGTTGTCTCTGATGATCCTTTGGATTTCAACAGAGTCCTTTTTCATCTCTAATTTTGTTGATTAGTTTGGGTTTTAACAATTTTTTAAATATTTTTATGTTTTATTTTTTAGTTGTAGTTGAACACCATACTTTTATTTATTTATTTATTTTTATGTGGTGCTGAGAAGCGAACTCAGGGCCTTGCACATGTTAGGCAAGTGCTCTACCACTGAGCCACAACCCCAGCCCATGGGTGTTTATCAATCTTGTTTATCCTTTCAAAAAACCAACTCTGTATTTTTTATTCTCAATTTTATTGATTTCAGCTCTAATTTTAATTATTTCCTATCTTCTACTGATTTGGGTGTTTGTTTTTTCTTCTTTTTCTAGGGTTTTGAGGTGTAATGTTAGATTATTTGTTTTTTTTTTTAATGTATGAACTCAATGCTATGAACTTTCCACTTAGAACTGCCTTCATAGTGCCATTTTAATATGTTGTATAACTATTCTCAATTTTTAAAATTTCTCTCCTGATTTCTTCTGCTACCCATTCATCATTCAAAGGTGTATTATTTAACCTCCTATTGTTACAGTGATTTCTGTTTTTCATCTTGTCATTGATTTCTAATTTCATTCCATTATGATCTGATAGGATGTAAGGAATTATCTCTATTTTTCTGTATTTGCTAAGATTTGTTTTGTGACCTAAATTCTGATCTATTTTAGAAATTATTTCATGCCCTGCTGAAAATAAGTTTAGTCATTGATGAATGAAATATTTTATAGATGTCTATTAGGTCCATTTGATTAGTAGGATTTTTTTAGTTCTGAAGAATCTTGGTTTATATTTGGATGATCTATTTAGTAATGAGAGGTGTGTTGAATGGTTTGTTTTATGTATGTAGATGCTCTACTGTTTGAGGCATAAATATTTACAATTATTATACCTATTGTTGGACGATTCCCTGAACCAGTATGAAGTGACCTCTTGTCTCTTCTGATTAATTTTGGCTTGAAGTCCACTTTGTTTGATGTGAAAGTAGCTACCCCTACTTTCTTTCAGCTACCATTTGCATGGTATCTTTTCCCATCTTTCACCTTCAGTCTTTGTCAGTGAGTCTCCTGCAAACAACATATTGTTGGGTCTTTCTTTAATTTTAATCCAACCTGCTAATCTATGTCTTTTGATTAGAGTTTAGATCATTTACATTCAATGTTATTATAGATATGATTTTTATTTCCTGCCATTTTTATTTATTTCAAATATTTAATTTAGATTTGATTTCCTTTGATGATTCTTCAAGTATAATTTATTCCTATACTGGTCTTCATTTTTATTTTTCATTTCTTCTTCATGAAATATTTAATCAAGTAGGGTTTGTACTACAGACTTTACAATTATGTATTGTTTTTAGTCTCTGTGGGAGGTTTTA